AGTTACACTCTATGCTGTGGAAGTGAAAATTCCTGTGTAATTTGGAATCAAGTTTTGAAAATTCCTTTGTAAAATAACATGTGTTAGAGTTTACTTCATTAATAATTTATTTAATTTCATTTAACACGCCAAGTACAGTGTGTTGACAGATGACCAATGGCTGATAGTACCCGTCTGATAACAGTAATTTTGACCTTGTTCTGCTGTGTTCCTAAAAGGAGCTTATTTTTTAACTATTCTTTGCAAAGGAAATAAAAATTAAAGAAAATCCCAAGATTTTAGTATATGAATTCCTATTGTCTTTCCTAAGTTTTAATATAATGTAAGAATAGCATTATCTCATTGTTAATGTTAACCAACATGGGTTACCTTAGAATATCAACGTTGAAAAAACGTTTGGTTTGTAAAGTTCAATCAAAACTTAAACATAAACGTTAACAGGGGTTTATTTAAGAGCCGGCGGCCGGCGCATTCGATCGGCTACTACGATGTTTTCGCCGGCTACTTCAATCAATGCTGTACAAAAATTAATACAAAAAGCACCAATATAAATAGCGCAACAGGCCTGTAAAGAACCTTATTTTAATAGCAACACGAAGTTTAATTTGCAATAGTATGCACTCATTTCGATGTTCCTTTCTGTTGAAAGTTGGTTAAAATGTCTACCAATTTTCAGACTCCATGTTTGACTTTCATGAACTCGTGGCGTAAACAAAGTTAAAGTTCAAAGTTCGGCAGTCGCGCCTGGGCGAGTCCATCAAAGAAGCCATGCCTCCAAATCACATGTTAGCCAATAAGATAATAGAAATTTCTCCTCCACCACATGCTCAGGTGATGACGATTTACATCGCCCAAACTCTTTTTCCGTACATTGGGCTTCCAGGTTTTCTTACCGCGGAGAAGAAAAAAACAGATCGTCATTTTAAAATTAATTTGTGTATGACTATGAACCTTTTATTTTCATTTCATTTTTGTTTTACTAGCCCTCTTTGTGATGACAGATATTTCGGAAATGATAAATAATAAAAAAAAAAAACCAATACTGGCTCAAATTTGTTTACACTCGGTGGCGGAGGTAGCAAGCCGAACCAACTATATTGAATGCTGTTTACACTCACAATTTCAGAGTCATATAGTACAATGATTAAAACGGCAGAGCAAGCCAAAATCGTCTCAATTCACATCACATGAAACATTTTTTTCCCAAAGTGGTATCCATTCCTTTTTAATATCTGCGTAAATTTTAGAACTATTTTTTGCTCTCCTTAGATGTTTCTTTAACGCAGATCTACTGTAGGGCATAGGCCTAAATGGTGAATCCCCACAAATTTCAACATGTTTGTGAAAAGTAACAACTTCATCAATATAAAAATTGTATTTTCAATTTATTTTGGTGGATTTTATTAAATGTGTATAAACTTAAAAAAGAATGTATTTCAATTACTGAATCAATATTCTGACCTTAAATTCCGATGTTGAGCTCGAAAAATTCGTAAATTCTAGGCATATTCTAACCTACTCAGTAAGTATACTAATCAAGGAACTTCTGATCATCACTGCATATGATTGCACATGTGCAACCACTGTGCAGTGTATACTAAGAAGTTCAAATGGGAAACTAATTTTCCGTCCCATATGATATACCACGATGTTCAGTCATCATCAATCAATGTGTTTGAATCGATATTAGGCCTACAGGAAAATAATTTAATAAAACATTGATAAACATTGTTCATTTTGTAGGATGCTTGAATACCATACAATTATGGAATATCATATGAGTGAGTACATGTGTGTAAACTTGTCTCTTTCTTATCTGTGCCTGGCTGGGAGCAGCCAGCTAAGTCATGGTCCTAGCAACTGAGGTAGGCTGCATGCTTATGGCGCCTAAGTCTGCCTAGGCCTAGATACTGTAGCCTACAGTACACAGTGGCTGTAGGCCTATCTAACCTAGGCCTAAACTCATGATACGATATTTTCAGCTATTGTATGATATTCCTCTCATGAATTAAATTTAGGCTTTTTGAGATTCGCGAAAGTTTATTGTCGCGAAAACGGCCGAAATTATCAATTCGCGAAAGTTTCTGGTTTACAGTATCTATTTAGGCTAGGCCTATGCATGAAGAATATGTAAAAATATCAACTTTTTTACAGCTCAGTAATTGATTCTGAAAACTGTTTTTAAAAAAATGATGTAGAGAAATGCCATCAAATGGGCTTAAAAAACTCTAAAACCCTGGAGTGCAATGGTGCTTCGCCCCCTTGACCCCCGACCAGGGCTCTGCCCCTGGACCCCGATGGGGGGCCTAGGCGCCCCCCCCATACCCCAGCCTATTTCAATTTACTCTCCTGTTACTTTCAAATTTCTCCTGCTACTCAAATTCATAAATAAACCCCTGGTTAATATAACGTTAGAATAGCGTTATTGTACCGTTTTATAGTAACCAAAATTTAACGTTGTGTCAACGTTAATATAACAAACATATATGTTGGTGACGTTAAACTGACCGTTCAAACACCAACGTTAATGTGACATTAAAAGAGCTGTTAACACTAACCAAAATTCAACGTTATGATAACGTTAATGCTACAACATATTTAACTTTTAAAAGAAGTTAGGTTGGCAACGTTAAAGTAACATTCAAACGCCAACATTGATGTAATGTTTAAAATGCTGTTAATTCTCTGTTTAATAGTAACCAAAAAAATAACGTTCAAACATGAGAAGATAACGTAGAAAATACGTTAGATTGGTAGCGTCAAACCAACGTTCAAACACCGACGTTAATGAAACATTAGATTGATTAACGTTTATTGCTAACCAAAATATCACGTTGTAGAAATGTTATTGTAATGAGCAATATAACGTTGGTGCAACGATAGAGTGGTAACGTTAACCCAATGTTCAAATAAAGGTAAAGGTAGAAGAATAACCCATAACTTGCAGCGTCATTGTGCTGAATTGCGTAAAGAGGCACTTCTTGGTAGATACATGTTCACATCATTCCAACATCGTTCAACAACAGGGGCTGAAATGAACCATAACATCGGGGTAACCCCCTACTCTTTTCCGAAAGATGCAATGGGTTCTTTAAAGTGCACACGAGCCAGATGTATACACTGGACCTCCATTTTAAGTCCTTATCCAAGAAGACTTGGTTCTACCAACCGAACCATGGGCGAGGAGCGGCTGGAACCAGCGCCGATGTTAAAGGCTGTAGCTAGCGGCGCCCCTGCCTTACCGCTCGGCCACTCGACTCGCCTGAATACCAACGTTACTGTATTGTAATAGAATAACGTTATTTTTCAGTTCAGTAGTAACCAAAATATAACGTTGTGCGAACGTAAGAAGATTGCCGTTGAGAAAACATTGAAGTGGTAACATTAAACCAACGTCCAAACACCAACGTTAATGTAAAGTTAGAATAACGTTTATAGTTTACGAAAATATAACGTTGTGGAAACGTTATTGTAATGAGCAAAACAACGTTAGTGCAACGATAGAGTGGTAACGTTAACCAAACGTTCAAATACCAACGTTACTGTATTGTTAGAATAAAGTTATTTTACAGTTCAGTAGTAACCAAAATATAACGTTGTGCAAACATAAGAAGATTGCCGTTGAGAAAACGTTGAAGTGGTAACATTAAACCAACGTCCCAACACCAACGTTAATGTAACGTTAGAATAACGTTCATAGTTTACGAAAATATAATGTTGTGGAAACGTTAGTGTAATGAGCAAAACAACGTTAGCTTTACAACGTTTAATCAACGTATGCGGTAAACGTAAAATCAACGTTAATATAACGTTTGTTTGCTATCTGGGAATATGCCTATAAATCAGTATTATTGTTCATATCGTTATTATCATTAGTTTTTATGATACGGTATGTTTTTTTATTAATATTATTTTTATTATAATGCTGGTTTTATTATTGTAATGTGAAAAAAGAGTAACAAGGGCAACGATTTAAAACACTTAATTATTTCGTAATTATTTCGTATACAGTAAAATTGGGGCCAAGTTAACTTGGGGCCGAGTTGGCTTGGGGCCGAGTTGACATGCTTTCGAACCATTCATCAGCACTTGCCCACATGGCAATAATACTAAGAGTCCAGCAGCTAGATATGGTTTACGTGTACATACTCTGCGATTTATATAAACCTGTTTTTTCATGCTCCTGATACCTTTGGTCATCCATTTTGGCCATGTAGCAATCGTAAAATTGGGTCCCCGGGTCCAAAATGGTCGCTTTTATGCAAAAAAGTATCCATTTTTGGGAAAAAATACAAACCCTCTGTATTTCAGTTAATATTGGTGATAGAGAGTTCATTTTGGTGCCAGAATGTTTGGAAGGATCATGTTTCTATTCGTTGTAATAAAAAAATTTTGCCAGAAAGTACCACCAGGGAAAAAATTATTACCTAAAAAACTTGTGTTTTGCCCAAAAAACATGTTTTTTATAATTTCCTATTTTTCCAAGCCATTTTTGATTGTTTCTACTTATTTAAAGGTGGCAAAAGATAGCTAAAGTGACAATAATATATCACAAAAAATATTTATTTTAAAATTCTAACTAATAGTTTGTGCATAAAAAAATAATTGATTTAACTTTAAAAAAGCCGGTTTTGGTAAAATTTTCACAAAATCAGGAGAAACTCTGTCAGTATTTATGAGATTGTGTTGAATTTGGTCTCAAATTACTCAGAATACATGCACTTCTAGGCCTAGGCCTATTTGCTTTAATGGAAAATTTTCCAGGGTTTGTATTTTTCCCCCAAAATGGATACTTTTGCATAAAAGCGGCCATTTTGGACCCGGGGACCCAATTTTACGAATGCTACATGGCCAAAATGGATGACTGGTATCAGGAGCATGAAAAAACAGGTCTAGGCCTATATAAATCGCAGAATATGTACACGTAAACCATATCTATCTGCTGGACTACAACAGGCCTAACACTTTTCTAGCCCGTGCAAAACTGACTTATCACTTACTTCTTGCCTGCTGTATCGGATGCCTATCCGATCATCGTCTTGTATATTGTAACACTTCTGACTGACACCTTTGCTGACACCAAAGAGTATAAATAGAACAAGAGAGCAAAGTCCCGTTCGTATAAACGTCACGCCTGTGTAGGACGCCCACTAACGGTTGTATATTCTTTATATTGCCCATAGAGCTATTAAACAACTAGAGTGCTGACAAGATGGCGGAGCAATGCAGAGTTGTGTATGTGTACCATCCAAGATGGCTGCCGTAGGAAAGCGCCACCTTCAGGCTTAGTATACATATTATTACCATAAATACTGTCTCTTATACACATCTAGATCCTAGATGTAAACAGAAAATAAAATGCGCGAATTACGAATACGAATATTTCGCGCGAATACTTACGCTAGCGTTCATTAATCGCCCAGTCTGGACATCTCGCTAGTTACGCCATGGATTAACGCACGCCCGGCGTTAGATACGCCTGGCGTATCTCACAGGTCTGAACGTAGCCTTTGCTGACACCATGTGTTGATCCCATAGAATAATACTAGAAGAATACTAGAGCGCTAACAGCAATGCATTCGATGTTCGAAATACGCAGAACTGTGTGTGTGTACCATCCATGGCTGCCATAGATTCAGCCAATCAAATTATGCCTTAGCACCAAAGATCTTAGGCTATGTTCAGACACAACGACTTACGCTAGCGTAACTTTAATCGAGTGGTGTGAACTTGTGCGCGGCGTAGCGAACGCCAGTATTATCGCGCAATCACTGGCGTACGGTAATCCAGCAACAGACCCCAGATTAGCGTACGCCATGCCACTGATTTACGACAGTCACGCATCGGTGATTTTGAACTCAGCCAAGATTTGACCAATCAAAATAAACCTAGATGTAAACAGAAAATAAAATACGCGAATTACGAATAGGAATATTTCGCGCGAATACTTACGCTAGCGTTCACTAATCGCCCAGTCTGGACATCTCGCTAGTTACGCCATGGATTAACGTACGCCCGGCGTTAGATACGCCTGGCGTATCTCACAGGTCTGAACGTAGCCTTATAAACACAAGATAGCGTTCTCCGCGATTTACGCGTGCAAATTCTGTAATAAGGCATGAATGGCGCCCTCTTGCTAAATTGGAAACTTTTGAACCTTGACCGACGCTTCAATTTGTTACGCTTAAATCGCGGAGAACGCTATCTTGTGTTTATAAGATCTTTGCTTAGCACTATCATTTTCAATGGCGGTTAAGTACAGCTAGTTACCGTTATGTTCGAAACTCGAGCGTTGCGGTGTATGGGTGTAATGTACACGATTTTATTTATTTATTTTTTTAAATATTTGAATAAGATCCTACTTGGCCTCTTTTTGGCTAAGAAAGTTCAATAATTTGTCATTATCAATACTAATTATCATTAATGAAATAATATTAGTCAGATGGCTTATTTATAGTAATAATATGTATACTAAGCCTGAAGGAGGCGCTTTCCTGCGGCAGCCATCTTGGATGGTACACATACACACAACTCTGCATTGCTCCGCCATCTTGTCAGATCCTTGTTATAGACCTATCCAAGAAGAATGGCGCCCTCTGTTGTCGACGCCATTACTGGGGAGCAAAGATCTTATGCGAAATTTAATTAGCTAAATCTATGGCAGCCATCTTGGATGGTACACAGACTCAGCTCTGCGTATTTCGAACATCGAATACATTGCAGTTAGCTCTCTAGTATTCTTATTATATCTCTTGTGTTTATATTATCTTTGAGAAAAGCAAAGAGTATAGCAATGGAACGTTAAAAAGTACTCCCACGAAGGGGCGTGTCCTTCATAAGAACGTTAAAGGCGTTTGTATCGAACGCGTGCTGCGTTTCGAATTTCAGCATACATTCTATCCGCAGCACGCGTTCGATATGAACGCACTTTACATTCTTTTATATATGAGGCGCCAAGTGTAAATTTTTTAACACAATTATTTATATATAATTCGTTATTTAACATATAATTGAATAGATCACCCATTATTTATATATAATGCATTTACGTCTTTAAAAGATTATATGTAAATAATTGCGTTAACGTTTTCATTATTTATATATAATTAGTGTTCGCGATTATTTACATATAATCTTTTTAAATAAGAAATTTACACTTGGCACCTCATACTTTTAAAGGCCACGCCCCTTTTGGGTGGTACTTCTTGAAATAGGATTGCGTTCCAAAGAATCCCCGGCAGTCGGACCTCTTGCAGTTTTGTACTCTTTGAGAAAAGCTAGAATTGGTGGCGCACTTCATGTCATATCGTTGAATTCTACAGTGCATACGAGAGGACGACGACAGGTTCAAGAAGCACAGCACAGGTAATTAGGCTTAGGCCTATATTAGTTTTGAGAAACGTATTGTTGTTCATGTAATGGATATGAAAACTAATAGGAGTCAGCTAAGCTAGGCCTCTGTCTCTGTCTGGACTAATCTCAAGGGAGTAGCCTAGGCCCATATCGGCCGCTACCAAAGAGTATAAATAGAACAAGAGAGCCAACAACGCTCATTGGGAGCGTAAAAAAACGATACGCTCTACGCAGCTAGTGTAGGACGCCAACTAACGTTTGTATGTGTTTTATTACCCAGTACTGCACCGCGCACTGTAGGTTTGTCTTTTTGTTTATCTGTTCTCCACAAGATACTGTGCTTTTGTTTTCTGCTTACTGAGTTTATAGCGGCCGTACTTCTACCGCGCTGCGCAGCGCTGCACTGGGTAATAAAAAGAATATACAACCGTTAGTTGGCGTCCTACACAGGCATGACGTTTTTACGAACGGGACTTTGCTCTCTTGTTCTATTTATACTCTTTGCCGCTACCTATAGCGGCCGCCCTCCAGAACGGCCGCCAATGTGTGTATATGTATGGAACGCCGATGACGCATTCACAATTAATAATACAATACCGCTCGCTAAATACAAAACCTTCGAGTCAACTAGGCCCCAGTCAACTCGGCCCGGCAGGTTAACTCGGCCCTCTTTTTATATATAGGCCTACACACTATATAGAACTACTTAAAAAATAACTATTAAAAAAAAAATAAATAAATTGAAGTCGCATTAAGAATTGTAAACATCATAAATATATAATAAAACCATTGCTCCAATCAAAACGTTCGATAGATTGAAGTTCTTCTCCAATAAAGTATGGTATTCGTTTCTTCTTATTATTATTATTATATATAAAGCTAGTTTGGATTTCATCTATTATATCATAATTTATATATAGGCCATATATATTTAATTATGTATACACATATATATATAATTTAAATAAGAATAGGTTGAAAATTGGTTTCCTCCACTGAAGTATTTCATACATATGATTTTCGTTTCTGAATTCTATACTCAAATATGTACACGATTCATGCCATTGATTCAATCGTTTCATTATTTATTATATAGGCCATATATAGTGTTTCTAAAGTTCATACATATGATATTCGTTTCTTAATTATTTATACTCAAAATATGTCCACGATTCATGCTATCGATTCAATCTTTTGTTACTCAATAAAAAGCAACAATACTAGAGTAGTAGGGTTAAAAGTTAACGTTACCACGGAGACGTTAATTGATATCTTTTGTAGCAGCAATATAGCTTTGCGCCTACTTGGTGTTCCATACAAATATATCTCGGCCGAACTTGTTCACGGCCAAACCGGTCCTACACCTTCTAAACCGACTTTACCTAGGCATATGCCAAACCTACTTGACCTAGGCCTATTCCAAACCATTTAACTACAATTAGTCCGGTGGCTTATGTCATCCCGTGGGAATTTCGTGATCATTTTGTTTTTGTTTTTTAATTATATACTTTGAAGTATGCTGAATCGAATAAAATGAGTCGCCAATTTTTTTACGCTCATCTTCATATGCAAATTAGCTGAAATATGCAAATTAGGTCTGAAAATGTAGGGTACTTATATCTTGGTAACCACATGTCGTAGAAAGTTGCTTCTTTCTTAAAGTTGTTCAAAACATGTTGATTCAATCGTTTCATTATTTATTATATAGGCCATATATAGTGTTTCTAAAGTTCATACACATGATATTCGTTTCTTAATTATTTATACTCAAAATATGTCCACGATTCATGCTATCGATTCAATCTTTTGTTACTCAATAAAAAGCAACAATACTAGAGTAGTAGGGTTAGAAGTTAACGTTACCACGGAGACGTTAATTGATATCTTTTGTAGCAGCAATATAGCTTTGCGCCTACTTGGTGTTCCATACAAATATATCTCGGCCGAACTTGTTCACGGCCGAACCGGTCCTACACCTTCTAAACCGACTTTACCTAGGCCTATGCCAAACCTACTTGACCTAGGCCTATTCCAAACCATTTAACTACAATGTACTGCATTGTGAATGCGTCATCGGCGTTCCATACATATACACGCATTGGCGGCCGTTCTGGAGGGCGGCCGCTATAGATAGCGGCCGATATGGGCCTAATTCATCTCAAGGCAGGCCTAGCCTAGGCCCTAGAGAGAGGGGAGAACAGGTCGACTCAAAAATGGCAAAAAACCAAAACGGCAATAAACATACGTTAAAACGGCAATGACTAAAACGGAAAAAAATCAAAACGGCAACACTTTTAGACCAGAACGGCAATGAACCAAAACGGCAATAAAGTCAAAACGGCAATAAAGTCAAAACGGCAATAAGTCAAAACGGCAACACTTCCAGAATGGCATACTGTATGGTAATTGGCAAAATGGCTAAATAAAATCGCTGTGACTATTTTTACGACGAGTTGTGAAGATAGCTCCCAATGCTATTCTTACGGCGATCGCTAGCGCATGCACGATAGCATCCCTCTTCACGTAGGTAAATAAACAAGTCTTGAACTGAGCGAACCGCGACGCTAATTCTAGCCTACACAGCTGTTCTAGTCTACGTATAAACAAAGATACTAGAAATACATTACAAGATAGAGTTCTCCACACAAAAAAAGTGTTCCACCGAAATGCATGGTGGGAATACAAAGAATGGGACGCCCCCTACAGCTGGATCTAAAAAAACTTCTGCCAAACTTTCGTTACCAAGTCGTCGCATATTTTATTATCAATTCTCAATTAAAAAATTGTACACCGCGATGCACTAAGGCGACGTACGGTATTGGAGGGCGTTGCTGTGCAGTAAATTGCAACACATCATACAAACAGGGTCATAATTTATATCGATTTCCAAAGGATAGAGAAAGGTAAAATATTGCACTGACATTAAACAAAAAATTAGCTATATATATTATAACATTTTGTTTTTTTAAACTTGACATATGAATTAGCCTAGGCCTATTGACTTGCGTAGCTAAGATATTGAAGAAAAATAAATAAATAATTAGACGAGCCTTAAGTAATGAAAAAAGTACTAAATATTACTCGTTCGTATAATAATGCTAGTATTGTATGCAGTTAGTTATTTATGAATGACGTGAAAATGGAGCTCTTTTGGTAAAGGAAATTTAATAATATTAATACAGGTCTTAAACTCTAATTACTTAAGACCACTTTTTGGACCGGGATTTCCATGGTCTACCTACCTCGCATAGCCTAAATCCGATTTTTAGTCTCTAATTAGAATAATAAAGCCGAATTTTTATTTTATCTTTTTATATCCTTTTTTAAATATTCTTATAAATTTTAAGTGAATGCACATTGTTTTAAAACTACATATATGCAGTTCTAATTTGTGATTAAAAAATATATACTGTGAGTATCAGAGCTGTATTCAATGTCAATAATAATGGGTTGGAAAAGCATTGAAATCCTGAGCTAATAGGCCTACCAATAGTATGGATCAATAAAGCACAAGAATTCATAATGATGGCTGTATTTTGCACTAATTTACTGACGTCCCGTACCGGTAAGTTTTTACCAATCACTTTTTATTTACTAGATATAAAAAGAAACTGGAATAGACACCCAGACAGTGACATCGGTGAATACATAACCTCCTTGGTGGCGGTAGAAATCTTTGCTATTATCCAAGTAAAACACAAAACAATTAAAGTACAGTCGAGTTCGCCTAAGTCGAATCTAATGGGACTGGCATAAAAAGTTCGAGTTATACAGATTTCGACTTGCACATTTTCGAAAAAAAAATATTAACATAGAACAATACTATGTGTACTCAATGCCCACAAAATCGAATTTCACGCAAAACCGAACGTTTTATAAGTCCCAAACTCATTCCTATTCTTCTTTTAATAAAATACTTTTCGAAAACATGAACTCCCTATTCCAAATCTCGGACGATTTGTCCAATTCAGGATGGTAACACTCACTCGAAAAACCAGACGATAGTTTAATAGACATCGTTTAACAACAAGCATACCAGACGCTGTGAAAACGAGACGCTTAGCTATACTCGCATTGCCATGGAGATTATCTGTTGATTAACACGATACAACAGTAGACGTTTTCTTGGTTAATTATGAAGTGAAATTTACACATTCCAATGTTTTAATATTATATTCTTGCTTTTAATCCTTAAAAACCATTTGGAATCAACCTGCAATAAAGAAGGAACTCAACAAAGCAAGTTTCTACTGGTTACTCTTTTCAGTAGTCGTCTAATTCAAATTCGTTAGATTCGTCGGTGTAAATTTCAAATGCACCTCATTCATTCTTTAAACTCAAGACGCTTTTCAAAACATGTTGCTAATTTAATTACGGAGGAAATTTGTAGAGAATAAAATATAATTTGTTAGGTTTATTTAGATTTGACTCTAAAATATACCATGAGGGTTTCTTATTTGTTTTTTCTTTTGTTTTATAAATTTGTTTAATTAAAACATTCTTGATTACACCGAGCTTGTTACTGTCATGCACTATAAAACTTTGGGCGATCTGACGTCATCACAGCTGAAGCACATGTCTAGTCTGCAAAACACCCCACGAAAATGGACCAATTGGCGGGCAGGAAGAATTTTTGGAGGCGCGACCTGTTCTGTTTACAACTAGACTGCCGACCAGCAAGTGGCATTGCCCAACGAAGAATTTGTGCTTGGAAAAACATAATCAGACCTAAAGAAATGCACGCAAAAACAATATAAAAGTCGCATCAGTTTTATTGGTAATAATTAAATTTGCTGAGCAGTGCAGCAAAACAACAGGTACTGTACGTATTACTGTATTAAATAATGTGTTGAATTTGCGTAGGCTAGGCAGTCAAAAGAATCCAGGGCTTTGATAAATTAATTAAATAGCTAGGCCCTGACTACAACAATATTGTTCGAAATGGGTTCAGTACAAGTTTTACAAACTAAACTGGACGAAAAACAGAACATTGGAGCCGGTCCGGAGGGGTG